GAGAGAGAGAGAGAGAAACGTCCCGAGACTCTCCATCTTTCTTTCCAGTCCGACGATACGCTTTCACCATTCTACGAAAGACGCGGTTCACAACTCACAACCACTGCTTCTCGCGCGTGCACGGGTACCGATTAGGATTATACGAACGTAATTTCACCACAGCTGTAGGTGCGAATGCCGCCGCGCGAGTTTTTACAAGCGGAACGAACCGACTTGGTTGGCGATTAGGAGCATATAAAATCAAGAATGAGAGAAGGGTGGCGGAGCGGCCAGCCGTGGCAAGCCATGTGATTTGCCCTTGTCTAATCAATAAATTTGGCCAGGCCAAATTGGACTCACATGAACAGGAGATCATCTCGACGAGAGTAAGATGGCCGGTAAACGGTGGCGTGATACAGGGAACAGGAAATGAGTAGGCGTGAGTTATGACGACGTCGCGCGGCTTGGCTTAATGGCTCCGGCCCGGTGCGTGTCCCGACGGATCTAGCTTGGGACAAGCGCGAGAAGTAAATGCCAAAAGCAGCGAATAGATAAACAACCTTATGGGGATCTTAGGAGCGGCCAGAAGGTCGAACGCGGGCTAGAGTCAGCCCTATAGCGAGGCCGAGCCGAGGGCTCGTCAGCCTCTCGCGAGAGAGGCGCTTACCTTGGCGAGTAATCCGACAGATCGGAGATGAAAGGAAAACTGGTAAATGGTTTTCGTAAAAAAAAGGATCGAGCGCTGAAATTTATTATCGGACCCGAGATCATCGGTACTCAGAGGAGCAATCGCAAGTTTTAGAAGAATAAAAAAAAAATCAACCTCCATTTAAAACCAGATTTTACACAAAATTGAATCTTTTAAGATCCATTAAATTTTTATGCATGGTGGACTTTGTACTTTCCGAATTTTATTTTGATTTCTGAATTTACGATGCGGTTCGCAGAATAATCTCCAGATTAGAAACCTCGTATAATTTTTATAAAGCTCACGATCGATGCGCGGAGAGAAAACGTAAGTATAATCGATCGGTCACGTGACCGTCTTTTTTCGAGCGAAAGGGGAATTTACTAGGAATCTGACTAGACGCGGTTAACAGGTTATAAATTATGAAGCTGTTTGCCGAGCCGTGTATTATCGTCGAGAAAAGTTCGAGGATATTTATGCGATATAGTAAGCTCGCCAGGCTGGCTACATGTTTGGAAAGAATTCGGAAGATGATCGAGCCGGAGCGGAGCATGCGAACCGGAAGGAAACTGCGAGCCGCGGTACTCCATGGACCACGGAATCTGAAATTGGAGGACATTCCCGAAGAGGCGCTTCGGCAAACGCAGGTTTGCTAGAAAGAGGAAATGTTCATCACGAGATTTCTCCGTTATTCGTTACTCAATTGCGTTATAAAGTAGTCACTCCAAGAAACCCAACGTTCGCGTTTAATTTCGCATTTAATTTCGCGTTTAATTCGAAATCGGCGGAGCTTACCTTCCTATCCTCCGCCGCGGATCAACCGCGACACGCGACTTCCTGCCTCTTCACGCGGAATCGCGATTTCTATACACGCGGGCGTATTAACATTAAGCCGTAGATAAAACGCCGGTCTCTCGGCTTGAACTTTGACGTCTCTCGGTGTACGTGCACGTTGTAACCGCCGATCTCGCGGTATCGCGGCCTAATATCGTACTAGAATTTCATAAGGCGTCGTGGCGATGCTCGCGCGCGCTCGCCTCGCCTTGTAAAAATCTCGCTTTCACTTAAGGATCGATTCGCGATCCGAGCAGGAAGGTTAAAAGTCGCTGACGGGCTGAAATTCAGCGAGCGGACACTTTCTCCGCTCGACTCCGCGCGCCGTTCGTTTCGCCGGATCGCGGATCCGTCCGTCGCCACCGCCGCCGCCCTTTTCCTCCGCGCGAAATCAAATGAACACGAGAGATTCGTCGCACAGGTTCGCGTGGACGTGCACTTCTGCGGGCTCACCGGCGGCGACGTGCTTTTCTGGCGCGGCGAGCATCGCAGAACCCCGGAGCCGGCCATGATCCTCGGTTACGAAGTGTCGGGCACGATCCTGGAAATGGGCAGAGTGGCACACGAGCGGACAGGATGTCAGATGGGCGAGGAAGTCGTCGTGCACAACTATCCCGTCTGCGGCGGCCTGGCGGAGAGCTGCCTGGCTCATTACAGAGTACGGAACCCTTTTTACCCCCCCGAAGCGACGAGGAAAACGTCTTAATTTGCAGCCTCGGATACACATTTGACGCGATGGCTGGTAATTTGCAAATACCACGCCGTCGGTTTGCGTCGACTTTCTTTGAATGCGGCCGCGTCGCATTCCGTCGGGGCCGATGCCGCTGAGAGAATAATCGAGTCGGGTAAATGTTAGGACGTGTTTAGATTAATGGGACGGGTGTCCCTGAAAAATGCGACGGCCGTCACGGATGATTATTTCTCGGCGTTACTGGCGATGGGCCGCCGAGCTCGTGTCCAAAGAGACGAGTGCCTCCTCGTAAACGCGAAACACTCGCGTTCTGCTCTCGCCGTCATCGATCTTGCCACCGGAGTGTTTGGAGCGAAGGTATCTTGTTTCATCACTTTCTCAGTATAGTAAATAAATATAAGAAAAAAAAAAAAGATAAAAGCTACATTTCCCTAGAGTTATATCTGTGTCTTGCTTTGTGTTCTAATCGATACGAGGCAAAACTCCCATGAAGATAAAAAATTCCGAGACATTTTTTTTATTATTTTTTAGACTACGTTATAATGATCATTATTCAAGAAAAATGGACTTTGTATTTTCTTTTTTTTTTAGCCAATAGCTATATGCGATGATGCAAAACGAGCCAAATTATGTGCGGATCTCGGCGCGACCGTGATATGCGTCGATAGATACGAACGTTGCCTGCCATACAAGTTGAAAAAAATCGGCGGCAAGGAAGAAGTACGCGTGATAATCGAGACCGAAGGCGAGTCATGTCTCTGGAACTCTGTCAAATGGTGAAATCACAAGTATTACGTTACGAGATTTCAGTAGTGAGATTCCTTTTTATCGATAGTCGGAGGTGGTAACAATTGCGAAAATTAGAGACGTGGAAAGTAGACCACCAGATGTTAAGACCCGCCTATAAAAGACATGTACGTATTGTAAACTTTGCAACTAATTATGAATACCGCCCGGCATGGAAAATCCATGGCATTTGTCACCACTCTCTTAAACGGAATCCGTGTATTATCATTGAAAAGGATTTTTTTTAAAACACAATTTAAAATACAAAAAGTTTTTTGAAAAATTACATCTTGCTGATTACCGTTGTTTCTTTACAAAAAATTTTACTTCTAAAATTGAAATAATGTGAAATTGTGAAATTTAATTAGTAAAAATTTCGTTGATTCAATTTTAAAAGAATGTATTACACAATTACATATATTTTTTTTTACAAATAAATTTAATTTTTTTCAGCTTGGACCCTGATGGTTTGATCGCTCTCATTGGTGATGCGCGAAACAAACGATCTTCCGAGTCTTTTCTCATGCCGATAAATTACACGATATTTGTAGTTGCCGCGGAATATTACAAAGTTGCTGACACATTGATATACAGGTTGACATAATTTTTAAAGCTTACCGATGACTCATCGGGCTGACGTCAGAAGCGAGAAAAATGGATGATAAAAATTCTTGCAAAATACATTAAGAGATAGAAATATTTACATGAGTAATTAAACATTGACATGACTAAAACAACACTTACGATCGACAGAACAAATGTATAAATGTATAAAAATATATCGCGTATTTCCTTTAAATATTTGCTTCGATAATCAACAAATAATTATATGTCTGGAATTGAATTATGTTTAATCAGAATAAAATGAAGCTTTTATTGAGATATCTCTTGAGATTCAATTACGAATATTATGTTATAGAAAAATATTAATATCGTATTTTAATGTATTATATTTTGTAAGAATTTATATTTTGCGTTTTCTCACTTTAATTCAAGACGGTCGCGATTGATCGAATGGAATATGTTTTCTTTTTATAGGGAGACCATGCAGCACGTGTTGGATTACAAATCGGAATGTGTAATTCGTCCTCGAATCTCCGCGATTTTTGGTTTACATCGCATTAACGATGCATTCGATTATTACGCAACCGTGCCGAGTGGGAAAGTGTTGATTGATATGAAAAATCGCGATCGATTCACTTTGTATGATAAACCTTAAAAATATTAGATTCTATCAGTTAATTTTGTACAATTTGCGCATTTGAATTATTTCTTTTAGCCTTTAGTTATTTGCCAAGATGGCGTTAATATACAATACATTTCTTGAATTACGTTTTTATTTCAAGAATAATTTTTTGAATTGTTATTAGCAAGTTTATACCTAATTTAATAAGCAGCGCAAATTAAAATTAAATTTTTATATTCTTGTATCCAAAACTATGGTTTTTTTATCCTGATAATTATACGTTTTCAAAGTTTTCTTCAAAATAATTTTTCATAAATTCTTCACATTGCTTTATCAAATAATATCGTAATTATTTCAAATGTGTATTAAATATTTTGTATTTTTGATGATTAGATCCGAGTCGATTCATTGTTGTGATCTTATCAACGATCAATTATATCAAAATTGCAATTATCTCCGTATCTAATTAATTAAAAGTCTTCATCCAGAGTCGTGTATCTTTTAATAATATCTCGCAGAAATCTCAATGACAAATCTCTGATATTTTATCGTTATATAATTTTTATTTAAACGCAAAAATATTCACTTTGTAAGAATTCATCGGCTGCAGATAAGGTGGATTTCCGCGCAAATTAATCTGTGTAAAAAAAAAAAGAAAAAGAAAAAAGTAATTCGTCTAATATGGCAAACAATTGCGTGAGTCGATCTTCGTCGGCGTCCATCCGATTTTCATTCTCATTTAAAATTTCACGTGCGTGTCGCGCACGCGAGAGATGCGCGCTTCGCCGCGAGATGGCGACAGCCCACGCGAAAAGCGGCCGTGCATCGGACGCGACGGATGCATCTCGCGGCCGGCGCAGCCGGAAAAGCGGCCAGCGCGTGTCCGCTCGGCTCCGCGGTTTGCGCGTCGCGTTGCTACGCTGTAGTAGGCCACCCTTCCCGCGCTCCCGGGCGTGCCGGCGATATCTCGACGGGTATCCTCGTGTGTATATCGCGAGTACGAGTCTCGGATTACCCGGTTTACCGCGTCGTGCGACCCTCGACGAGGAATCGTCGCGAGTGCGGTGATCGCTGTCATACGTCGCCGTCGCCCTTTCTCGCGCTCCTCGCACGCGGCGGGTCGACGACGGGAAACGCGGAGAATCTCGAGAAAGAGAAAGAGAGAAAGAGAGAAGGTCAAGAGAAGGGTAGTAGGGGAGGAGAAGGGCGAGACGGAGCGCGTGCGACGGGCACTGCACGGCGCTCCGCTGCATCGCGCTCGTCGGGCCGCGATCGTATCGTATCGCATCTCGTCACGTCACGTCACGTCACGTCACATCACGTCACGTCACGTCACGTCGCGCCGCGTCGCGACGGCCTCGTTGGCCCCCGTCTCGCGTCGTCCCGTCGTTCCGTCGTCGCCGTCACCGTCGCCCGCGGTCGCGACATCGGTGGTCCGTTCCGTCGTCCGTTCGTCCGGTCATAACGCGCTCTCGCCCGTCGATACGTCGGTGTCCGCCATACCTCGCGACGAGAACGACGGCGGGGACGGCGGTGGTGCATGCAACCTGTTGTTTTCTCGCGGCGCGCTTACTCACCGCCCGACACGCAGCCGTGCTGAGCGGCGACCTAGCGACGTGCGGCATCCGACGTGCTGGCGGCCGACCTAACCTCGCGCCCGCCGACCAGGGAAACGCGCCGGCTCGTCGACGCTGGGAGCTGACGGCAGTATGAACGGGTAAGATAACACTTTGGTTGATAAATATTTGGATTTCGAAATGAAACGTGCGGGAGAGAGAAGCAGAGAGAGAGAAAGCATTTAAGAGGAAGGGAGGGAGGGAGGACGGAAGTGAGAGTGACAGCTGAATGCATGTCTTGCGTAAAACGTATGATGGACGGCGGAGGGGAAGGGTGTAGTTCGGCATGTTGGAATGCTACGCCAGGTTGAGGAGGAGAGAGGGAGAGAAAGAGAGAAAGAGCTAGTGCATCGATTTGCGATTGTTCGTGGGGGGCAAGAGAATTATCGAAGAGAGAAAGAAAGAGCGATGGCGTGATAAAAGGTAGGAACGAGAGTTTTTCTTTATCATGTGTCACTCCTCCTTCTCTTTTTCTTTCCTCTTCTCTCTCGCTCGTTCGCTCTCTTTCTAACTTCGCCTTTGTAAGAGTACACGTGCGCAGCTCGTTCCCCGGCAGCCTCTGTGTCCGCGCTGCAGTCGCGTGCAGCTCGACGAGGCGAGGTAAAAAGGGAAATCTACCGTTGAAAATTAATTAAGCAACGCCGAAGTCCTTTAATCTTCGACACTGCGATATAACTCGGCCTTTCGATTCGCTCGATACGCGATCGTTCTTTGACAAAAACGTTCTTTGCCGACACACGCGCGCACGCGGAGCTCGCCCGAAAAGTCGGAATCTCTTTCCATACGATCCATGCGATCCCGTATTTTCGATCACGCAAAGGGAACGCGAGCGAGGTGGTCGCGGTTATCGATGTTATCAAACGCGAGACGCAACGCGCCGCCGGCCGATAATTCCCGGCCAGGTGCAACGATCATTTTTCGCTCGCCGCGCGAGTGGGCGATTTCGCCCGCTGATAATGGAGTCGACTTTCCAGGTCGATTCTCGCGTGGAAATCGAAGCTGCGTACGTTACATCAGCGAGATGTGTTTATAGGCCGTCTCTCCCCGAAGCTTTTAGCCGTGTTTACGAAACGGCGCACCGCTCGGCTTTCGCGAGCGCGTGCATTTTGATGAATAATATTCGATTACATCGCCGCAACAGTATCCAATACGTGTATTCAACGCGCGCGTACATTTACGCGCGATCGGCGTCCTTTTGCGAGCCATGGCGAGCGCGAGGCCGCGCTTCTATGATGCCGCCCTGCTTGTATTTCACGCATATTTCACCCGGACGCGTGCGGAATACCGGTAAAACCGCAACATTTTCAGGGCAAATTCACGGCCCCAGCCTCGGGTTTTCCCGCCCCGGGTATTCTGGCCTCTTGGATTTCCTTGCTCACGTGTCTATCCGGCGCTAAATGCATATCCACCCGACTTTTAGTCTGTGACGTTTTCACCAAATCCACACTTTCTTTCAGCGTAGAATCGGATCGAAGAGTCCGACAAAGAAAGGAGAAAAAAGAAACGGAATTACGCGAGTGATCCATCCGTTTTTGCACACATAATCCCGCTTAAAATATAATTCTCTGTTGATCGCGCTTGATTAAAGCCCGACTCATTTCGCGTTTGATGAAATCGGTTTTGCGATTTGAGGAGTCGCAGCAGAGATTTTGAAACCGCGTTGCGGTGATGATGTTTAAATGAAAGGAAGGACTGTACAATCACCGCACGTTTCATCGTCGCGTAATACGATTAGCGAGCTCGTATCCTTTGCCTCCCGTCTTCTCCCCCCTCCCCCCTCCCCCGACCTTTCCTGCAAGATTATCCGATTCTGCTCGATCCCGGAATTCGATCCTTCCGCATGCCGGAATAATATATCGCGATGATAACGGGACGGTGCTTAATTATTACCCAACGACGACGATGAAACCGATCTACGCGAACGTATGTTCGTAGTGTTCCGCGTGATTTCGCACGCGGTTTCGCGCGTCACGCACCGCCACGTGTCCACGTGCACGTCGCGCGTCGGGCCTTTAAACCCTTCGGTCGGTATTCGACCGCGCCCGTGGTAACTCCATCCGCGCGGACAAACGAACGGGTTTTATCAACCCATGGTCACACGTTGGCGCTGCGCCTCGGACTCGATCAAGCGTGTTTTATTTTCATACCTATCGCTGGACGATAAGGACTTTTTTCTCCCCGCGACTTTGATCGTCCGCCCCCCCCCTCCCTTTTTTTTTCTTTATTTATTTTAAATTCTTGGCGCCGTGGCGACAAACGTTCAGACGTGCGTGCTCCGAGCCAGCGGAGAAAACGCGGCTCGGTATTAATTAATTAATTGAGCGCTCTTAATTTAATTAAGTCGCCGTTGTCGCGTCGTGATGAATTGGGCGTCGCGTCGCGTCGCGTCGCGTATCGCCGCTAGAGAGTTTATTATGTCACGGCGATCGCCTATATTCGTTTCACGCGCGGGCGACGCCAAGCCGGAATTAGATTTCGTCGCTTCGAGAAGCACGCAATGAGATGGCTGAAGCCTGGCAGCGATCGGACTGTCACGTGGACCCGCGCCAAGGAGCGAGAGAGAAGCGCGCGTGGACGATTCGCGATTCGCCTCATCGTTTCCGCGATTCGTTTTCTCATTTCGTCCGGTTCAACGTCCGAGAGTCGAGCGATATCGCATATCGGAAAAAATTTGTAAATATCCGAGTAAAATATCCGAGCCTAGCGGACGGATCGCTCGGCCGAAACTCACGATGGCGTGCGCCATGCGAACAGCGTGAATAATTCCTTGGAAATATAAATTTCTGCAAATTTTTTTCACGACGCCGCAGAACCGACTACGGTGACTACGTTCGCGCGTTTTGCAAAATCGTGTCAGATTTCACGCCGTATTTTCGCAAGACGCGCGCTGAGGCAACCAAATGTAGCTCGGCGGTAACGTTTCGTTGTGAAATATCTCTACTCGTGCATTATGGATTGGCACTACGCCGATGAGACGCCGATAATGTCTTTACACTGTCAATACTGATCCAGATTGCGTTATCTTTTTGTGCAAGGTTAGCACCTTGCACCTCTTCTTTGCTTACTTACGTAAAACGTTTTTTCGATTTATCTACGTTGCGATATAACGGCGTAATCTTTATACACGACGCTATATATAATGCCACTCGCTGGAAGGGCTTATTAACGAGACTTTCAATTTAATTCCGGATAACCGGTAAGAATATTAAAAAAAATTCTCAGATATTTTCATTGTCCGAGCTACGAATGATCGGTACACGTATCGAAGATAGCGAAACGCTGCTTCTCTCGCGCTAGTTTTTTTTTTTCTTTTTTTTGTTTTCTTTTTCTTTAGATTATCGCAATCCAGTTCTATGCAGTTCTATTCTACACTGAAAAGCGTCGGGCGCGATACAACGCGAGGGAAAAAAGATGCGGCTGAAAAATGTGATGCGACTGTATTCTCGAGTATGCGGAGAATCGCGCCTGTATCGACCGTCGTCCAGCCGTGTTCGTTTTACGTATGCAATGACGGTCGGCGTCATTAACGTGCATGAAGACTGAATTAACGCGCGCGAGTACCGGCAGACGTTCGCCATCCATCTTCGTATCTGATATTACATTTCACCGTGCGGCCGTGCGGTCGTGCGGCCGTGCGGCCGGGTGCGCCATCGATGCAGCTGCGATGGACTGGCAGTGCTTAATCAGGCGGCTCGCGAGAAATTATTAAATACGAACTTTCGCGGAACGTCGTCGGAAC